TCTCTTTCTATTTCTATCATATTGGTCACTATATTTTCGATGATTACCTTTTTCACTCTAATAATGTCCGATATTCAAAAATTAATTCAAAATAGTTTGCGAACTAAAAAGGTTTTTTATCGATTACAAGATCTTATCGATTCCATGTCAATATTCGAAAGCAAAGCAAAAGTGTTATTATCTATAGAAAATTCTAATCACAGTAGAGAATGCATCAACATTACTCTGGATGAATTAGAATTATTATACGTGATGTATTCAAAAATAAATCGATCATTTTATGAATCTATATCAGAAACAAGTGTTATAAAAAGTTATATTGATTTTCAATATGAATTAGAAAATAATGATTCTATAGATCATAACAGATCTGTAATTACTTGTTTAAAAATATTATTCTATAGTCTCAATGAATTATCAAAATCGACTATTGATAATAAAATAACTTTACTATCAATATTAGAACAATTTTTAGTTTTAAATGCGTATGTAGATTATTTTATATTTTAATACCTTGCTTAACTCTAAGATAATCCGGACTCATAGTTCTGTTCTATACATAGCATCAGAATAGTCAAAGAAAAATAGAACAAAAAGATCATTTGCATACTAAATCTCATATTCTTCGTGAAATTTATTTATATATTAAATTATTTATGGAGTCTAAAAATAGAAATACATTTTTAATTATTTTCATGATCTGTTATATAATAATCTCTTTAAAATAAATTTGCTTCATTATTTATTTAGTTCAACTTCATCAAAAAAGTCTTACCATTTTATTCACGCTAACCCAACCGTATTATTTGAAAACATAGAAACATTGCAAATTTTTGTGAAAACAATATTTCATTCACTATTATTAAACGTGACAAAACATATATGCTTATCTGATAAATTATCTGTTGATTCAAATCATGATTCTATACGGGACTTGATAACATTATTATCACCACATATTAATTATCTTCGTGTTAATTGTTCTCAATGCTTCATATTAAATAACGAAATTAGTATCGCCGATGTTGCTTATCTTATAGTCTATAATAAAAAAAAAGAGTGGTCTCTCAGCGTTGATTTGAATGTCTATTCAAAAAATCAACAATTTCGTTTGTTCGACTCCTCAAAAAGTAGTTTGGATAATCCTTTAACAACTACATTAGACTATCCCTTTGAACAATCGAAATCTTATTCCTATTTTGATATATTACAGAAATCTCTTATAACAAATATAAACAATATACATGTTCCATTACTTGAAATAAAAGATGATCATTTATTTGCTACGCGACGGCTTTTGTTAAATCATGAAGTAATCCGTAATGATACAAAAAGTTTATGTAATTGTCTACAAGAAGATTCTTCGAGAATCTTTCAATATCCAGGTTTAAATTTAATTTCCTTTTACAAAAAAAAAAATCTTATCAAAACACCAGATACAACAAATTTCGGGTGTGGGTGTGGGTGTGGGTGTGGGTGTGGGTGTGGGTGTGGGTGTGGGTGTGGGTGTGGGTGTGGGTGTGGGTGTGGGTGTGGGTGTGGGTGTGGGTGTGGGTGTGGGTGTGGGTGTG